CTGCTGTGTATATGGAACTGTAGTTAGGAAGTAAGTATTTGGCTATAGGTGATTTTTCTGTGGTTATGCTGAAAGCTGTTCCTGAGGAGGATTTCAATCCGTCTGTGAATATAAACTTGTGTGAGTTTAAGGAATTTTTTATTTCAAGAAATTTTTTTCTATATACTTCAGATGGTGTGGATGGTTTTTTTGTTATGCCAAGGAAAAGATTGATTAGAGTAGGATTGAAAAGCCAAGGTGGTGATTTCTGTGGGTGAATCTTGTTTGGCGATATTTGTAGGTCTGACTTTTTGGCTAGCTTCAATGAGTTATGCAGGACTGATGGGTATTTTGGTGATTTCTTGGATGTATTGATTTTTAAATAGATTGGGTGGATGGGTGAGTCTTTGCAGAGCATAAGCGTTTTGAGAATTTTCCCTGTGGAAAGGCTAATCCTGTCGCTTATTGGCGTGATGTTTGCTTCAAAAAGGAGGTTGTTTATGGGAGTGGTACGGTGTGCTCCAAGTGCTAGTCTTATGGCTGTATGATAAGTGGGTTTTAGTTTGTTTAGTATAGATTTGGGAGCATTCCCGTAAAGATTAAGGCCGTAATCTATTTTGGACATGATGATTGCTTTAGTGACTTGAATAAGGGTTTTTGGGTTGCAGTTGAATTTTTTATTTGAAAGACATTTAATAATGTTTAATCTATTGGATAAATCTGTCGCCAGATTTTCAATGTGCTTGTTCCATTTGTACTTTTTTGTAATAATGATTCCCAGGATTTTGAGTGAGTCTACGTTTTCTATTGAAAATTGGTTGGATTGAATTTGTAATGCGCAGTGAGTCTTCCGGCATATGTGCAGGTGCTTGCATTTGTTTGTTGAAAGATTTGCCCCTGAGTAATCGCACCACTTTAGTATATCTTTAAGTAGATTGTCTATATTAAAAGTATTGGTTTTTTTGTTTAATTTTTTGTAAATAATGAAATCGTCAGCGTATGCTGTAAATTGATACTCTTTATGCTTTCTAATAATCTGACATAATTTATTATAAGCGATCATAAAAAGTATCACTGATATTGGTGAGCCTTGTGGTATCCCGTTATCTAGTGGTTTATGATTGGAGGAGAAAGATCCAGCTTTGACTACTATTTTTCTGTTGCTAAGAAAGTTTTTAATATAATTGAGTATTTTGGGACCTATTTCCCATTTACGGAGTTCATCAATAATGGTATGAGAGCCGATTTTTTCAAAGGCCTTGGTGAAATCTAAGGAAATTATGGATATATGATCTTTGGTTGTTAGAGTAGTAGTAGTTAGATTGTCTAGCATTACTAGCGGATCAACTATTGACTTCCCTTTTCTAAACCCCATTTGGTGACTATCCATTTTGCATTTTATAGCAAGCCACCATAGTCTTTTCGCTATTATTTTCTCCAGTAATTTAGATATGCAAGGATTTAAGGATATGGGCCTATATGAGTTTAAACAAGTTTTATCCGTGTTCGGTTTTGGTATTGGTATAATATTACTGATTTTGAACTGTTGAGGTATATAGTTGTTTAATATTAAATTAAAGAGGTTAACTAGGCGGTGTGTAATGAGGGGAGATAGATTTTTTAGCATTTCGTAATTAATTCGGTCTATACCTGGTGTTTTACCTGTCAGTTTCTTTAACGCTTGATTTAGTTCTATTATTAATATTTCTTTTTCTAGAAGCATAGCATTGGTTGAATGAGAGTTTGGAGTGTTTGAAGAGAGTGATGCCAGCTTGTGTTGCTGAAAAGTTGAGGGAAAGTTTGAGTTTGCCGAGAGTTGCGACCAATTGTCGCAAAGAAGCTGTGAAATTTCTTTTTGGTTAGTAACTGGTTGAGATGGTTGGTTAGGGTTAACTAAACAGTGTATTGTGTGCCGCGTTTTTAAACCACAAAAGTTGTTTATTTTGTTCCATATCTTTGCGGACGGAGTATGGGGAGATATTTCTGAGGTGAATTGAAAAGTCTTTAATCGTTTTCTAATTTTAATCTCCCGTTTTAGTTTTGCGTTAGCTTTTTTGTAGTTAAGAATATTAATTTCATTTATGTCATGTCTAAGTTTTAACCATTCCCTGTTCTTAATAATTTTTAAATTTTGTAGGGAAGAGTCCCACCAAGGTACTGTTCTATTTATGTTTTTCTTGTGATGGGTTTGAGGGATTGCTTGATTGGCACTTTGTAATATTATTTTTGTAATGTTTGCAGTTTCTTTGTTGATGTTATTACTAATTGGTCTGGAGTTGTTGTATATTTCGTTAAGGTTTTTAAATAGGTCCCAGTTAGCAAGGTCAGTTTTAAATTTTGGTTTTGGTTTCATTATGGGATGGTTGTTAGTTTCAAAAAGGTTAATATGAATAGGGAAATGATCACTTCCGTATAGTTGTGTATCAGTTTTCCATTTTGCTTGAAGCGTTAATAATGGAGTGGATAGGGTTATGTCAACGTGTGTGAAAGAATGATGTGTACTAAAGTGTGTAGGGGACTTGTCATTTAGGATGGAGAGTGGGGATTGTGTTAAAAATTTAAAAATGGTGTTACCTCTGATATTGTTAGTTGGGGAACCCCAGCTTTTGTGCCAACTATTAAAGTCACCTGTAATTAATACGTTTTTTTGAAGATTCTCGAAAGTTTTCCTGAGATGTTGAATTTTAAATGGTTTATTGGGAGGGATGTAGGCTGAAATAATGGTAAATTTTTTTGTGGATAGTATTATAGCACCAATTGCTTCAATATCTTCATTAAGTTTTGCTAGTTTGTGTTGTATGGAGTTGTGAATAAGTAGTCCTACGCCACCAAAACTGTGGGTAGAGGAGTTATGATTGTAGAGTGAAAAATTGATTGGGATAGGGATGTTGGTTAAGGAGTGAAGATGAGTTTCTTGTAGGGTGATTATTTTGGGATTGTATTCTTTGATTAATATTTGCAAATACTGAAAGTTGTTAATGTAGCCATTTATGTTCCATTGAATTATTTTAATACTCATTCTAATATAATAATATAATAATTATTAGTTATAAAATATAGATAGAGAAAAAACGAAATATGTTTTTATATACTATCGCTATCACTGTTTTGTGTCATTTTGGTCTTACTTGTTTGCTTATTATTTTTTTGTTTAGTTAAATTGATGTTATTTGCCTTTAAGTATGTTTTTGGAGTGCTAGACTTATCTTTCATACGGTTTTCTATTTCTAGTGTAGTGTTAGAAGAAGCTTCATTGGTGTCGTCGGCTGAGTGAATATCCATTAGATCGTCAAGAAGATATCTGTAAGTTACCGGATTGGATGCCTGTTGTAGTGATGTTGCTGTATTGATTGACGTGGTAGTTTTTTGCTTTTTTGTTACATGGGAGGATGATATTTTTTTGTCGTCTGGTTTATTTTTTGTAATGGATTGAAGTCCTTTAGAAGTTAATGCGATCGAAGTATTTTGATTTTGTGTTATGATGTTTTTATTGCCATTTTTGTAATTTATTTGAGCTGTTGATGTGGTAGATGATTGTGTTTTTGGAAGTATATTAGGTGACTGAGATGTGGTGAGCATTTTTGCATACGTAGTAGGTTTTTCAGAGATGTGACGGCTGAAGTATAAACCTAGAGCAGTTTTATGATCTACCTTTTCTGTTGTTTTTATTGCTGTAATCTCTTGTTGTTTTTTGAAGACTGGGCAATTTTTGTCGCGTGCATTGTGATTACTGTTATATTCTGGGTTGTCTTTACAGTTGATGCAGTTTTTAATTTGGGTGCACACCTCGTTTTCTTCGCAATGTGATTTATTGGAGCAATTTGAGCAAATATAGTCACTTTTACAGACTGTAGTAGGGTGTCCAAATCGACAGCATTTTTTGCATTGTAATGGCAGCGGGATGTAGTTTCTCACGCGTACAGCCTCGTAGCCGATCATAATTTTTTCAGGAATTGTAAGTGTTTCAAAAGAGATTATGATTAGGCCAGTTTCTACAAGAATTTCATTTTGTTTTTTCAGAATTTTTTTTACTTCTACAACCTTTTGGGTCTTCAGTTCCTCAACTATTACCTTTTCGTCGATATTTCGCAATTCGTTAGAGTAGATGACGCCTTTTGATATGTTCAGTGATTTATGCAATGTTGCTGTTACTTCATAATCTCCAATTTTATTTAATTTAAGTAATTTTTGTACTTGGGTAGAATTTTTAGTTTTTATTAGCAAGCTACCTGCTCTTGTTTTTTTGCATGTTTCCACTTCTCCTCCGCAAGTATAATCAATTACTTTTTTGATTAAGAAAGGTGATGCATTTTCTAGTGATTTTTTATCGTTCCTTGTTATTATTAAATATTTTGGGTCGCTTGTATTATAATTATTGTTGCTTAGAAACCGGTTTTGTATGTCTGGTGGAAGTGACATTATGATTGTAATGTAGGGCAAAGGCCCACAGAGCACTTTATGTTTTCGTCTGCTTTAGCTGTTTTTTTTTTTTTTAATTATAAATATAAAGTTATTTTTTAGAGAATTTTTTTTTTTTTTCTATAAATGTTTATTCTTTTAATATCGTCTGTATTCACCGTAAGTTTGTTGATAAACAGTAAATTTTTTTGTATAGGTTTATTCGAACGAAACTGATAAAGCGCCACACGTACTATTTCGC